AATTGATCCCATCTTCCGCTCAACCAAAAATACACGCTTTCAATGGATTTCCAGAATGATGAAAAGTAGTTGTCATTTACGCTGCTGACATCAAAAGTTTGTGATACGGTGATGTCTGGGTAAAGATTATCGGTGGTATCTGAGGAATTGGTGATCAAGTATGATGAACCGTTTGGTGTGAGGTTGATTTGAGTAGGGTTGCGCAGGAGGAGGTACATCGCGTGGCCTTTCAATCACCCGTGAAGGATTTTATTTGTGGTGAGCTCGATTTTACCTAAAGTCAGGAAACAACCATTGTACCGCTTACCTATTCCAAATACGACAATTAGCATGAATGCGAGGAATGGCCACACTTTCCTCAGAATGTTTGCCATGATGTAAATGAATTTTGCCGGACCTTCATTTAAGTAAAATAAGAACTGAGCTCGTACAAATTTCAGAAGAAATTCGAAATCACCCTTACGTACTTTTAAAAAATCTCAGTAGCAAGAACTGGATTGGATAGTCAAGAATTTTCGGATCAGTTCTAAGCCAAAAAATATAAATAATATAATTTAACAAGTACTTACCATTTCACCCCAGATAATCAACGTCGTAAACGCCGTGGCGATAGAATATTCCATCAGCAAAAGTGACGACGAAGTCCCTCCTCCCATAAACATGATGTCTGCCGCGATCACAACCACCATCGGTAAAATCACCGACGATAAGTCAAAGAAATTATAAACTGTCAGATACCTTAATAAACCTTGATGCTTGAGCTGAATGAACTCCGTGATCAACAAATAATATCCAAGGTAGAATAACAAAACCTGAAAAGCAATATTAACCCTACTATTGACATCGGGTCTAACATCCGAACCTTCGTGCAATGCGCCCGTGACAATGAAGAAAGTCAAGGCAAAAATGATGAAGATCGCGGAGTGACGGATGAAATGATTTCGCGCAGGCGGCCATTTGTAGTCAATGACAGCGGCCATCGCAGGATTGTCAAACATCATCGATGATTTGTCGCGTTGTATCACGCGGAGAAATGGACTGCAATCCTCGTCATCGGTGACAACATAGCTACGAGGCCAGAACATAATCCTGAGGATGCGTAGGAGTAATGATTTTTTTTTGTAGTCTTTGATGACTCCGGGCGGGTAAACGGTGAAGTCTTTGTAGAAAATATTTGTTTGAATTTTGAATTCATGATATCGAAGTGAAGTGAAGAGGGTTTTTTTTTTTTACCTGGAAGTGGAACTATTCTCACAGTTGTTAAGACGTTAGACTCGTGCTTAATTACATCGAATATGCTGCCGAACCGAAGATTGGGAATGTTAATTAGTGTAGTTTGGGATCATTTTAATGATAGACAAAACTAACATCCATCAACTACCCCATTTTTTTCGCATCATCCTCGAGCTCCTTAATCTCTTTCTTGAAAAATGAAAGGGAGGTCAATGATCTCATCTTTTCGGCACGAGTGATAATAACTTTTTTAAGAAGTCTTGGTTTAACTTCCAATGCGTGGAAAGCTTTGAAACGTGCTTCTACGAAATCTTTTTTACTGATGAATGATTCATTGATGTGCATTTCCTTTTTACCAAAGATCGGTCTACAGAATAATTCTTTGACAAAGAAACCTGGAAATACAGTATTTTGATCGAGTTAAATTGAATTCTAGTGTGATAGTACTTCATCTAAATGTGCAAGGATCAATTGAATGCGAAATACCTAAATTATAATCGTAAAGGAGCGGAAGAGTCTGGGAGACACTATTCATCCATCCTGCATTCTGCATCGCATTGTCCGCATAGTAACTCAAAAGATATCCTACAATCATGGAATTTTTTGGATTGCCACCCGTGCACTCAATCGCCACCTGTAAATCACTCTTTTTTCGTTCAGCGGGTTCAACAGGCTCAACAGGCCACGTGTGCAACCTCGAAAAATGAAATTGCTTGCTGGTTCGTGTCTTAATTTTATCACGGTCTTCCTCGAACAATATGGTCTTGATCAATGAGACACAATTTCCTCGTATCAAGTTTTCCATGATTTCGTACCGCACGTCAAACAACCTCCAGGCATCCGGGTTTTTTCTGATGGTTCTTTTGAGTATAACATTTATTTGTTGATTCAGTTTATCATAATAATACTGTTTCTTTGGTGATAATTGATCGCTACGTCGGTCGTAAAGGTATCCCAAAGCTTTGCACGCGTCAACTAACACGCGACAATTATGTGGCCAATGAATTTGTTGATGGTCACCCTCAACCCCAACCGAGACCTCCAAGAAGAATTCCCCGTTGCCAATAGAAAAATCTTTGATTTGAAATGCTTTTCCCTCCGGACTAGACCAAATATATTGAAGAACTTCATGAGTTTTGGGGTTTTTCTTACGCCTCCATACTTGGACCGTCGTGCTTCCGACGATCACTTGTTGAGTTTTCTCGTTATTCAGAAACGCAGATACACGTGGATACTTTTTATGACGTACCCACGGTTCAGGGTTGCTTACGATTAGGTCAGTCTTGGGTTCTTTCTTTGCATCGTCGAATTGCCCGCTCAAATTGTACAGGCAATGATACATACTTGAGCTATCGTGATGAGCGGCCTGCATGTCTAACTTCATGAGACCTGAAACGGAAACCGGTGGAGGATTAACCACGTTTGTAAGATCAGGATGATCAAATATCGAATATACGTTTCCATCATCTTCGTTAACGTAAACAATCTTTCCGCTTGCGCTGGCAAATCTGTGATAGTGTTCGTGCGGTTTCGCCGGAATTACAAGTTGTGTATCTTCTACTTTTCTTACACTATCATTCAACGAGTTAAACAAGTCCCAAACCATGATCACCGTGATCAACTCGGTAGTTGAATCCTCCAGAATTCTCTCCTCTTCACCTACCACCAACAATTTCTCATCATCACCTATGAAGTCTATAGAGTTGATTCGATAAACATTCTCAAAAATCTTGGTGGTAATCTTCAAGGTATTCTCCATCAAATAAATGGTTACACTATTGGCACCGTGGCAATAAGCTAACAAGACGTTATTCTTTGATATTTCAAATATCGAATTCCCGGTGACCAAAAGTTCCGAAATCCCCTTTTCCTCGTCCATATGAAAGGTCTTGTGTAAATCGCCGTCTATCAAGCTGTACATCTCCAACACCCCAGAATTATAATCTTCGACCATGAAATAATACTTTTCAATGCTTCGATGGAATAAGTGCAATCTAAGGTCCTCGGAATCGATTTGGTCGGTTATGATTGGAGGAAACAAAAAGTCTTGGGTGGGCGATATCGAATGTTTGGTGTTAAAAGAAAGATCCTTTGATTCATAGTTATGATCGATGTTGGTTGTGGTGACACCCTCCGAATGGACCAATGCCAATGTCGTGGAATTTCTCGTGGTGGTGAGAAATCGAATCACTCCACCCATGTTATCCAAAGAGGTGATTAGTCGATTTTGGAACCATGTTGATATTATCCACGTATGAGAATCATTTCCGAACTTTCGAACACCTTGTTCTAAAAGACTCAAGTGATCAGACGATTTTTTTTTTCCAACACCCCAACCTAAGTTGTCTCGTGACTTTGATTTAACATTAAAAGGCCGTTTTTCACCATGATGCGGGTTTTCGCTGGGAAGCACATTATCGTTTTCGTTAAAGCACGAGATGGCGATTAACGAGTCAGAATGAGAACCCATATTTATGGAATTGGATATGGCGAGTGACCAAGTGAGACGGGAGCTATCACGTTTAACGGCTTGAAGGCCTCGATATACGATTTTTTTTGTTTGCGTGAGGTTTTTAACTTGGGATATTCTCAATTCCAAATTATCTGATGAATTGATTAAGATCGACGTTACTTTGTACTGTAAAAAGTAGATTAAAGAAACAAAGCATTTCTTTTAATAAGATAACCGACCCGTGTTAAAGAGGACAACATTGTTACCATCGGGACTCAATGCCACGTGATATATGTGTCCATAATGTCCACTGGTCATGATTTGAGAGAACTCGATTCTTTATTATGACGAAATTTCACGCTTTTTCCTTTTTGTTTTCTTTTTGATGCCTTTTCCTTTTCACTAACAAATTTGGGATCGTTTTTTATTTCGCGGATAAAGCATTAAGCAAAATTATGATATCTTTGGATTTTCACGTAGTAAATGAATTTTTTTTTTATGGAAAAGAAAAAAGTTACCTTGTGGTCCTGAATCTGAGAATCGATTGCGTGGCGAGATATGGGGATTCTTGTTTCCAAGCCCTCTTCGCCACATACTAACATTATGTACCGTAATGTGTACGATTAACATAACAATCACTCATCATTTGCGTGAGCGTCCAACAACAAACTTTGCGTAACATATTCGGTCTGCAGTGAGTACGTAATTTGATAGGTGATGTCGAAACTTCATGATAATAAGATGTCAATTAATTCATCAAACCCGCTCATCAGAACGTTCTGGTTGGGAAAATCGGTTCAAACATTAGAGGATGGAAATGATGACTTGGACATACTAGTGAACGAATCCTGGAATTTATGGGTAAGCTGTTTGAGCATCCGAGCTAAAAAAATGATTGGAAATGATGTGACCATAAAGGGAGATGCCATAAATGCCGACGATTTCTTCTGTGAATATGGTTTTCTGAGACCAAAAGCCATTTGTAATTTATTCGATAGTGAGTGATGTAAATATGCAATGATGTATTTCTCTTGTGTGGTTAAAACACAATACATAAGTAGGATACAATTTTATGCATTGGTTATTCCAGAAAAATGTTATTCGTTTGATACCGCGGAAGCAGAACCCTTCACAAAAGCAGCGACAGAAATTCATATTCTTGCACGGAATGCAGCAGAACTTTTGGATTCAAAAATTTCAACGTGGGATAACTTATACAAGGAAGAAAAATTATGGAGCGGAAACGGTGTTGTACGTGTGGAATGAAATCGTTTATTCGTTTCATTTTCGTTCAATATAGAAATAATATTTGTGTCAACAGATGCTCGAAGGAATTCTTAATCTATACCTCGAACAAGATTTTTATACCGCATTGCTTTTAGGAACCTCTACCTTAGAAAGGGTACTAGGAGACGTACGTGCATTTTCTTGTAATTTCTAGGTAAAAAATTTCCATTCCTCACCGTTAATTAGTTGATTGTTTTTTTTAGATGATACATACAACCGACAAAGATGCATCAATTCCCAACCTTATTCGAGATCTTTTGATCGCTCCACCGCTCGTTCGGTTGCTAGGAGAAGACATGATATTTTTCCTTCGATGTCTAATCGGTCCTCCAAGTTCAATTAATCTAAGGAATGTCCTTTGGCACGGTTTTATAAGTCCCAAAGAGTTCTTGCCTGTCCCTGCCAAATGGTATTCTGCACTCATAACAATAACAATTGTGACTGTGTGCTCCAAGGTGAGGCGAGATGGTGGTGTGGATTCATTGAACAAAAGATGTGGAACGGACTTTGTAGGATTTTTTCATTTGGATTCGCCACCTAACTTCAACGACGGGGGGAAAGATGTGGATGTTGATTTTGATGTGATATACGAAAGCATTATGTATGAACAAGGTGTTTTTTCAAGGATATAATATTAACTCTCTGGAATTTGGATTATTCCCTTTTCTTATTGAGGGCTTTTAAAATTTTACATATGACAGCTATTCCACCACGACTCCCTCATTGTTCTCTACTGAAGAATCTACTTCTCCGCAACTTTTTCATATTGCCGTGCACACAATCCAGCTGGGAGCGTTCGCTATACTTTTTATCTCGAAACCAATTGTTGTTATTTTTAACCCTCTCTTTGCCTCTCTTT